CACTGGAATGTCGGCCTGTTCCCCACGCTGACATTTAAAATGATGAGCCCCGCTCTCCCGCCCAAACACAGGACTGTCAAATGAGACAAACACTTTCATCCCCAGAGATAATAAAAATACATGGGGGTGGTGGATCGACTAATCTCCCAGCATTCAGAGGTGCAAGGGGGAGGGGTGTATCCCAGAATTGATTGCTAGAGCTTTTTGTGTGCCTTGCATGCCATATTGTTATCTCCCATTAAAAGAGTGTGTACAGAGACTTGTACCCAGACATAAATCACAGGGCTTGGGTTCGGTCAGGCCTTCGGTGGAGTAATCAATTATTCTCCAGCAGACACAAGAGGAAGAGGCTGAGCTTGCACCCTGGCTGCTCTCATTATCATAATCACCCCCCTTTAGTGAGGCAGAGTCAAAAATAGGAACAAAAGATAACTGTGTAAAATACCAGGTCAGACTTAAAAAAAGAAAAGAATCACAGACCTTTGAAATGTTTTTTAAGGCTTTCACATAATTAATGCAGGTGTTTGTTGTAGAAGAGTTGAACAAGGGTGGTGTTTCAAGGTTGTGACCATGACCAAGCTACTTCAAATAACCACTTCAATGGTTTTACATGTCAACGTATATTTACCGGGAGTTATGCTGTGCTCCATTTTAATTGGAAAGTCGGAATTTATAGGTTCCCAGAATTTCAATAGGAACGCCGTAGCTCAGATTTGTAAAGTCTGTTTAACCCCAACCTCAAAAGACGGTTGCTCGCCCGTCGACATAAGTCAAAGCTGTAGCATTAAACAGTTTATTAGCACAATCAATAGTCTTATTTGTGTATTATTGAATCAGTTATAGAAGGTTACTGTCCAACTTCTATCTGTGGACATGATGTTACAATGTTTGTATGCAAAAAATATAGCATTGTTGTCAACCGGTATTCCTAACAAGGGTTAACGTGTCTAGAACTAGTTTTCCTAATTTGCAGACTTTTTGAACTGAGAAATGTGGGTGTGATGTCATAATGTAGCTCAGCGCAAGTTCAATCAGGAAGACCAATATCCTCTGGTGTTACACGTCACTTCAACACTCTCTCCTCTCTCATTAAGTGATCAGGGGCGTTACTCCCCGGCTAGCCAATCATCGCACCCACTAACCCCTTTAAATCTGCTCTTCCCTCTCCGTCAGTTGTAATTTCAGGTGTCAACGCGCAACCCTCCTCCACCCCTTTGCCCCCTGTCTCCTAATACAGGGCCAAGCTAAAACCTTCTCCCTTTAGACCGGACCGAACTACTTATCACCACCACCAGTGTCTACCCGGGGGGTTCATCGGAGCGGTTTTCCCCTCCTGAATGATCATCCTGCAAACCGGGGCCTAATCGTCAAACATCATTCCATTCACTTGTTGTAATCCGTCAATCACTATTCCTTCATATCATGTGTCCCTGTAATAAACATGTATTTCATACATCACGTCTAGATAGGAAGACAATAGTCTAGATGCTTGTTGTTAGCCAAAACACTTACACAATGTCTAACATAGTAGTAATGAAGAAATGGAAGTTCAATATTGATTTGCCTTTAGCTCTGTTTTTGGTCTCCACATTCTCCTGAGACAAACATTGGGCTTTTGAGCAGCTTAACGCTTCATATTTACTAGCTAAGTGCTAACTTTGCTTGGTTCTGGCCAGATGGCATATAGTGGGTTAATCAGAGCCCAAAACAGTTCCTGTATGCTGTTTAAACCTAGGTGATTACAACAGTGAGAACCAAAACAGTAAAGTTGTCGAAGTTCATCCAAAAGTATAGTTAAAAGACACAGTACCAATTTGTTTTTTTATAAAATATACAGCTTAAAGATCAACCTATTTTAAGCATTAAACGCATATGCGTTTTGATAAGGTCAAATTCCTAGGTCCTAAATTTTAAGTGCTTTATACTTTGCAAGAGTGTACACAGACACTCTTAATGAATATTTATGCTGTCCTAATTTAGTTTACTCGTTAAAAAGAAAACAAAAGTTGTGTTTGATGGAGGGGAGATGACAAAAGTAGTGTATCAGCAGTCTGAGGCGCCTTTGTCCTCACTAATGAGGCACTGAGCAGCTAATTGAAGGATCATATGGGACTGAGGGGACATCTCGCTCTAACAGATGGTGGAGGTCTTGAGTCAGATAGATAAACCATTAGCGAGGACATATCGCCATGTGACCAGCAATCGGTTCCAACATATTTATTTTTTAACTGAATGATCACTTTGTAAAAGCAATAAAAGCGGATGTAGGGATGCTACAACTGCAACTGTGAGGGAAAGACTGTCATAATGAGAACACAACCAAAAATACATTTTGTTTTTAGCCTTCAACCATCAGATCTGGACAGCAGGGGTCTTTCCTGATAGGATTGTTTGATGTCCATGCCAGTCGGACATACTGTTGCCCATCATGGGCTCTGACAAAAAACACAGCCAATAGAAGTGCTATCATTATTACAAGTTGGCACATTTACATGAACAGAGTGCCTGATTCTGTGTTGCCATTAAGAATGAATACCCTATCTTTACAAATGCATTAAACAAGAGAGCAAGGAAGGCTCTGATTAGCCCTACAACTGTAATGTTGAACAAGCACCAGATGTAAACATAATTCAAGCTGGATTCGAAGGAAATCCAACATTTACTTTCAAACCTCCTCTTGGGTATCCTGTACCATGGACCACCCTCTGACGGATTATTGGACTCTCCACGCTCAATACTACTCCGTAAGACTAAAATATGGAGAGTTGTGTGGTGTCATTATTAACAACCTCCCAGTGTACATCCTCACATTAATACAGATCATCTGTCATACTGGGAATCGTAAATAGTAGATGTTGAGGGTTTAATATGGAGTGTACAGTTAGCTTTTGTAAACACACATTTACAGAGTCAAGTTATTAAAGTCCCAATTTATTTTTAAGGTCCTACATGGGTGTTTAATTATTTGCCTGATTGGACCTCTTCTGGGGACTGTGTGGGCTTGTATGGACTTTGTTTGATCGTCATCACTCACACTGCTATTATTTTTATTTCACCCTGTTAGAGTGATAGAAGTTACTCTCTTATCATTCCTATTGGCTCATGGAGTTTGGTGATATTATGCAATTCCAGCAAATAAAGTAAAACATTAACTATGGAAGCCCATTACTGCCAATGTGAGGAAAATAAGTAAGTATGCTCTGATTTTAAATGCCATTTTCTTAATGTCTTTCGTTTTTGGTAAAGCCCTTTGAATTGCCTTGTGTTGAAAGGTACTATATAAATAAACTTGCCTCAAAATAATCAGAAAGGTTTTGAAAATAATGTTATGTAGGTACTTTTATTGGGTGACTTGGTTATTATCCTCAGATACTAACTTATTATTTTGGGATAGTTATTCAAGATATGGAGAAGCCAATATTTTGAGTCAAGTCATTATTTTATTTTTTTAATAATTATTTTACTTAGATTTTTGGATTGTAAGTCATCATTTGGAGATACCAAGTCATTATTTAGCAATACTAACTCATTATAATGACTTTCAAGATATGTTTCACTTCCTAAAATAAGCTTAGCAAAAGGAGTTACCTTTCAGACTTCAGAAAAACAAAGTGTAACTAGTCTCTATATAAAACACACCTTGTGACATTGTGTGCAGGGTTTACTTAGGATTCATCTTTCTATTGTCTGGTCAGTAGGGGTGTAACGGTACACGTACCCGTACCGAAATTATTCGGTACGGGCCCTTCGGTTCGGTACAGCTGTGTACCGAAGTGTACCGAACGAATATATCGTTAAACGTAAAAAATTGAGAACGTGAACAACTTTTTGGAAGTAATCTCAGGTGCTGCGTCGCAGCATTCAGAGTAATTTGCTCACATTGGGTTCAACGCGTCATAGAGCGAGCAAGTCATTTCATTGGATGAGAGGCATACTATGAGAGCTGGTCAGAGGGATGCGTTCAAATGTAGTCAGTAATTTGAGGAACTGTCGAAAATTAATGGCGAACGCAGATAAAGTTGAGCTCGAAAATCCTCCAGCATCATTGAAGTCTCCGGTTTGGGAACATTTTGGTTTCGCAGTTACGTACAAGGATGACGGACAAAGACAGGTGGACCGAACCAAAGCTGTTTGTCGGCATTGTTCAACTCAAATTGGTTACGCGGCTGGCAATACATCAAACTTGCACACTCTTGAAAAGGCATCACCCGAATGTGAATATCACCGGTACCAAAAGAAAAAAGACTGAAGTGCAAACCCAACTCCCGCTAGCATTTAAGCCTCCACCACTCGCAGAGAGTTCAGACCGAGCCAAAGCTATTACAAACGCCAAATATCCTTATGTTGCCATGTTAGCAAAGCGCTACCTGGCTGTACCTGCTACCTCTGTCCTTAGCGAGAGGGTGTTCTCCACAGCAGGAGACATTGTTAGTGCCAGCAGATCTGCCCTTAGGCAAGCAATGTGGACAAGTTCATCTTTCTTTAAACAACATGAAAATACAATGACAAGCAAGTCCTAATGTCAAACTGGCTGCTTGGGTGCTAGTACAGTACAGTTCAAATACAGATTATTTCAGTTCATCGAAAAGCTGCACCTTAATGTTCATTTTATTATATTTTGTATTTATTTGAGTGAATATTCACAGTTTAATAATAATTAAAAACCCAAAACTAATAGTTTATGTTTTGTGAGTACTAGTACAGTAAAGTTCAAATACAGATTATTTCAGTTCATCGAAATGCTGCACCTTAATGTTTATTTTATTATATTTTCTATTTATTTGAGTGAATACATTATTCACAGTTTAATAATAATAAAAAAAAATATATATATGTTTTGTGAAAAAAAATTCTGCTGTACCGAAAACGTACCAAACCGAACCGTGACCAAAAAACCGAGGTACGTACCGAACCGAAATGTTTGTGAACCGTTACACCCCTACTGGTCAGTACTCTTTTTTTCTTCCTACAATTCTTACAAATAACAAATTCCAACAACATTTGAAAGCTCATCATATATAAAACAATAATTTATTATTTCTCTCATTTTACAAGACATCAAATTGTGTGGCTAACTAAGGATTTGTTACACTGTTATTCTGTCCAATACATGAAACCCTAAGAAAGAAAAAGCGACTACAACGTGTGCTTTAACAAACACAGACGTTTACATTTTAGCGTGAGAAACTTATTTCTCTAAAGACACGTACATACACAATAGTATCACGTTATGACGTCCTCTACGTTACGTAACAGATGGTACTTCGCTGACGGTATTAACTTTGGGGAATCAGCACCATTAGAGAGAAATTAAAACTAAAAATGTGAATTTGTTACAAAAATGTTTTTTTTAATTTACAAAAGTCCTTTTGAAAAGGATTACGTGTTCTACCTTGCAGGAAAATAGCAGTGTTTCCATAAAAGCATTACGTATGCATAACAGTAAAATACTGATAAGAGATATATAGTACAAACAACATAATGTAATATAGTGTAAATGCTGGCTGTTTATTTATGTATGGCACACTGTCTTTACACACTTTCAAAACCCTCCAAAGAAAAGTCACATATTGTGTTTTTGTTACCAAAATTATTCAAAAGAGCAAGCACAAAGGTAGAAAAGGTTATTGTAAGAATTTGAAAAATGTTTCCAAAATCATCCTCATAGCCATGTCTAATTTTTGTCAAGTCCAACCATCATTATAAAGAACTTCTCTTCAAGAACTTCTGAACTTCTGGTGGGAAATGTTCGTCCAGGAAAGGCGGGGCTTACTTCCTATTTACAAAACGTTGCCACATTGAACGAGGCAGGAATCTCTACACCAATCGGTAGTGTCCTATGTACAGTCCACCACTCAGAGCAGCACTTAGACTGTGGTCACAGACAGAATCGAGTTGTAAACCCTTGTGCCATCTGGCGACTTGGTACCGTGGGTCAGCAGTTCTTGGATGGTCATCCAGTTGTCAAATATTTTCTTATTCCTCTTTTTGTTCATCTTTTTGTGGCTGAGTTCGATGATGTTGGGCTCCTTTTTGTCCTCGGCTCCGGACTCCCCTTTGAGACAATCGGCTCGGCTCTGCTTCATGAACTCGCGGCGCTGCCTCTGCTCTTTGGCGCGGACGGCGTGCTGCTTCCTCTCCTCCTTGCTCCAGTAGCGGCCCATCTTCAGCTCGCTTATGGCGTCGTCGTCCGTGGTCATTCCGCTTCGTTCCTCGTGGATGCGCAGCGCTCGCTCCCTCAGCAGCTTGTCGCGCACCGGCCTCTTGGTGATGTAGCGCGTGCCGTCGCTGCGGATCTTCACCTTCCACTCCATCTTTGGGTCCAGGTCGCCGGGGCTATTTGGGTCCCTGCACAAGCTGACCAAACTTATCTGGCTCTGGGCGTACTCCACGGCCGATTTCTGCTGGATCAGCTGCATGTAACTCTGGTAGTGCTGGGCGTGTGCAGGGATGTGGGCGTGCTTGTACGGCGAATGTGGCTGATGCGAGCTTCGTGCGGATTTACTGGACTCTCCCGACTTCTTCTCCTTGCTCTCGGCCTGCAGGGATCCATCTTGATCTTTTGAGGAACCTTTGCTTCTGCTGGGGCCAGGGGCTTCCTGCACTGGGGACTGGAGGGGTTTGACGACCCTACCATTGGAGCTTGTGGAGCTGGCCACCACAGACGGACCCTGATTTTCTGCGCATCGACGAAGAGAGTTGTCCGGAGAAAGCTCCAACGTGAGTGGGGTGCTTCGGCAGCTCTCGCCAGTGTTGTAGGCGCTGGAGCTGTCTTTGTCCGATTTCTCCGGGAGCTCCGTGATGTCGGAGAGCTCGTGGCGGCGCGCGTCGATGCTGGTGTTGTAGTTGCGGAAGCCGCTGTTGTGGAGCATCCAGGACTCGCGGCACTGCTCCCTCAGCTGCTGCATCTTGTGAGCGTGGACGATGTTCAGGCACTCCAGCTCGATGGTGCGTAGCTCCTCGTTGAGCATCTCCAGCTCTTTGTCCACCCCGTCCTGGTCCTGACCTCCCTGGTAGTACAGACCCTGGGCTCCACTGTTCCTCATCTGGCACTTCAGCTCCAGGAGTTCCCTGAAGCGCTCGCACTCGTCCGCGGGGATACCCAGGAAGTCGGCGTCGTGGTAATCCGCGGAGATGAACGACTCCCCGCTGAAGGGCAGGTCGGTGCTGCCCAGCGTGTCCTGGCTGTAGGTGAGCTTCCTGCAGCTGCCCAGCGTGTTGGAGGCCGTGGTGTGGTCGTCGCCGAGGTTCTCCTGCTCCGAACCTCTCGTCGTTTCGCGTGCTCTCGTCCGTGCGCCCGACCCCGCTGTCCTTCTCGTGGTGATTGGACAGCAGCGTGGCCGTGTCTGTGGTGCCTCCGTCCTCCTCATGCTTCTTCTGAGAAAACACAAGACACAACGACTCAGAAATAGTGCTGCATACCAGGGGAAAGAAAAAGCACTGATTTTGAGCCAGAATACTGCAATTAACATGCTTGAACATGTCATTTATTGTGTGTACCTATACAGGACTTTTTTACGTGACAATTATCAGAGCTATTGGATTCCTGCTAATGTCGGTAAACTATTTGAAATGTTTCTATTGAATATATTCAATCTTGCCTTAAATCGAAAAGTCCATCATCACAAGCATCCAGTAATACAAAACATAAATGAAATATAAAATGTTTTAATGTTTACAATACGAGTTCAGCCATTTTATTATTACTCCTCCTCCTCCTCCTCCTCCTCCTACTCCTCCTCCTCCTCCTCCTACTACTACTACTACTACTACTCCTCCTCCTCCTACTCCTCCTCCTCCTCCTACTCCTCCTCCTACTCTTCTTCCTCCTCCTACTCCTCCTCCTCCTCCTCCTCCTCCTCCTCCTCCTCCTCCTCCTCCTCCTCCTCCTCCTCCTCCTCCTCCTCCTCCTCCTCCTCCTCCTACTACTACTCCTCCTACTCCTACTACTACTTCTACTACTACTACTACTACTCCTCCTACTCCTACTCCTACTCCTACTACTACTACTACTACTACTACTACTACTCTACTACTACTACTCCTACTCCTACTCCTACTACTACTACTCCTCCTCCTCCTACTACTACTCCTACTCCTCCTCCTCCTACTACTACTCCTCCTCCTCCTCCTCCTCCTCCCCTCCTCCTCCTCCTCCTCCTCCTCCTCCTCCTCCTCCTCCTCCTCCTACTACTACTACTACTTCTACTACTACTACTCCTCCTCCTCCTCCTCCTCCTCCTCCTACTACTACTCCTCCTACTCCTACTACTACTTCTACTACTCCTCCTACTCCTACTCCTACTCCTACTCCTACTACTACTACTACTACTACTCCTCCTACTACTACTACTCCTACTCCTACTCCTACTACTACTACTACTACTCCTCCTCCTCCTACTACTACTACTCCTACTCCTACTACTACTACTCCTACTACTACTACTACTACTACTACTCCTCCTCCTCCTACTACTACTACTACTCCTACTCCTCCTCCTCCTACTACTACTACTACTCATACTCCTCCTCCTACTACTACTCCTCCTCCTCCTCCTCCTCCTCCTCCTCCTCCTCCTCCTCCTCCTCCTCCTCCTCCTCCTCCTCCTCCTCCTCTCCTCCTCCTCCTCCTCCTCCTCCTCCTCCTCCTCCTCCTCCTCCTCCTCCTCCTCCTCCTCCTCCTCCTCCTCCTCCTCCTCCTCCTACTACTACTACTAAACATGCTACTTTTTAAGGGAACATATTAGTGTAATATGTACCTACCTATTGGCAGGGCTTTACAGTTTTTTTCCTAATTCAATGAGCATGTGTTTTCCCATATGCCAGTCTCTAAAGAAAAATGTTGCCAAAAACATTCGACAACACCAGCTGGCACTCTCGGCAGGATTGGCTCGACCAAAGAAAACCATAGACGAACATACGTGTTAGTGCAGATTGATTGTGCTAGTTTGTGTCTACAGGCTGTGCGTATGTGTGTGTGTGTGTGTGTGTGTGTGTGTGCGTGTACCTGCTGCAGCATGCTGGCGGTGAACTGCATGGCCTGATGGTGCTGCTGCTCCAGCATGTCCATGTGGAGGTCATCCAGGAAGTCGTTCCTATCATCATCCATCCAGCCCTCGTCCAGCTGAGACATGGCGAGGAGAAGAGACGCCTCATTAGATGCAGATATTTCAAACTTTTACTCGAAAAGTAAAACATCAACTATTGTTGGGAAAATACTGAATGTACTCTTCCAATATCAGACTAGCACATGATAAAGAACACCTTAGGTAGCTGTGTACATAACAGGATGTATGATTACCTAGAAGAGCATCAGGACTGTTTTAGGCACATGATAGCTATGTGATTAACATGATGATTCAGCCTCTATGGAGATAGACATATGACAAGCATGCTCATTTCTGACGTGGAGCTAATCTGAAGTAAACATTGAATACTGCTTTCTATTCCTCCATCTTGTGACTGTAACTCCCTCTCTTGTATCAGCATGTGAAGGACACTGTTCAGGAACTCTGTATGTGATGACTACTTCCATTCTTGAGAGGATAATAAATACATCCTGATTATTGAAGCTCAAGCCGGTGAAGAGTGATATTTTTCTAACAACTATTGAAAATCCTACTCTTGTTTGTAGACATATAATTGGAAGGCAACTATTTTTGGTTACTTAAGTGACCCTTTGAGGTTTTAACATGAAACACAGTGTAGTTTACCTGGATCTCCGGTCTGGCCACCAGCAGAGTGATGTTCTGGTTCCCCTCGCTGGTCAGCAGCATTACAGCATCCTCCCGGTTCTGGATCTCGATACCATTGATCTGGTGGGACAGCAGGAAATATTTAAATACCTTATATATTCCACATATAATGACAGTCTGTACCCTCTGTAAATGTAAGGTACATTTCACCATCTCTTTAAGGTCTTAAGACAGGTGAAATGTTGTTTTTCTACATTAGTATTTCATTTAAAAGCAAGCAATGGGGTCCTAGAAATATACATCAAATACATATTCAAGAGAAAAGGGAAACAAAGTAGGGCCATGTAACAACAACAACACATTTTGAATATTCAAAGAAATTCGATTGAGAAAAAAGCTAAATATCAAACGTTTTGAAACATAATTCAAAGAGTATTTTAAACAAACATTCCTGTTTTTTTTCTACTAAATAAACTACTTGTGATTTCAGATTTGTTTATGCTAGATTTAAGACTTTATTAACATTATTTTTTATTCTGCAATATGACCTCTCTCCCCCCTCTTATTTTCATTTGATGAGATTTGACGAGACTTCAGTGACCTTACCTGAATGATTTTGTCGCCTTCTCTGATTCTGCCGTCCTTCGCAGCAATGCTGTGTGGATCAATCTAAAGAAAAGAAAATATACAAATGATTACTGCTGACTTTCACTCTGAGATAAACATTTCTACACTTCATATCTCACGACTTCATCCCCGCTGACAGCCCTAGCAGTCGCTATCCACTTCCTGTCGAAGTAAATTTGAGCGTTCCCCCGTAACACATACCTCACTAATGTAAATCCCAGCTTCATCCTCATCATCAGTCCTGTAACAGATCGTCAGGCCCAGCTTCTCTTGGATATTGGCTCGGTACAAATCCACTTCCTGGAAAAACATATGAACAAATAAATATCCCACACATCTGAAATTATAGGATTTTTCTTTTTTTTTTACAAGATTGAGTAGACAATGGTTGGTTATTCGCCGTTGTTTTTTCTGGAATGGACGGAATATATGGACTAGGAAATGGGTTCATGGAGCAACAGAGATCCATCAATCACTGTAATGGATCTTTCAGCGGGTCGCGGGGAGCCGTTGGCTTTCACTGACAGAATGAGAGATGACGCAGCGGACTGCAGACGGGCAGAGCGCCGTTTTTCACTTGTAATCTCACAGATACAGATAAAGATACGAGAGGGGCTGTTCTGGGAGGGCAGAGGACGGGCACCGTGAGGGTGAACCGCCCCGAAAATAGAGAATGCTGATCATTATCTTGGAGAAATAGGTACATTTTGGGAACAAATGTACACCCTTTTTATGCCACAAGTTAAGAGTCTTTGGGCATTTTTGTTTTTACTATGATATACATGTAATGCAGTAGTGTAACATTTTTACAGGGAGTTGTATCAGATCATGCAGTGTAGTGAGTTTCAAGGTTATAGTGACCATATTATTCCTATACAGTAGAATTTGTTGATTTAGGAAACAGAAACCTGTTTTAAAGTCTGTGTAAACAGTGGAACATTGTAAATGTAATTTGTATACACACGTTTCATATATGTCACTTTGGTATGTAATTCAAATGTCTCATTGAAATGCTTGCTTTTGTATTTTTTTTAAACGTTAAATTGTGTCTTATAAGCTGCTTAAAGCTAGTAGTAACTTAAAACACAGACCGTTCGCTCTGATATCTTTTGTATATTGCTCTTAAAAGATCAAGTGTACCAGAAAGCATTTGAACACAGCATGATAACGGTCAGTGGATTCCTGTCCGTTTTATACCTAGTGACACAGAAACGTATCAAACATGAGCAGAGCCTTTTTTTCACTTGTCCTTTTGACTAAAAGACAACAAAAAGTCATTCTAGGAAGACCCACAGTCTTACCCATCTGCCGTTAGCCGCACAAAGCTTCACCTTTCTGATCTCAGCCTCAACGCTCCTTCATAAAAAATATTAACATCAAGCAGTAGGTGGCCGGGGTTTGAGGGGAGGGGGTGTCCGGGTCGGCGGAGGTCATTAAAAGGAGCCCAACGGAGGCTTGATCATGGTCTCATCCGGGCATTGTTAGTGCGCATCATGCGATTCATCACCGCAGAGCCATTATCTGTGCCATCTAATTATCCACCGGCCGGGGAAGACTTATTACGCCTTGTCACTAATAAGTAATGATGTCACCGTTGTGCATCTGCTGGAACAAACCAGCAACTCGATTCCTGTCTGGCCTACATGCGGAGAGAGAGTGCCCCATCAATAACTCTGATGCATGGGGACTTGTGGCTAGCAGGGCCATTGGGCTGGAGACACTGAGGCGACCTTGGCTCTGCTCATGAAGCAATGATGCTCTGCTGTCTGGATGACTTCATTGAGAGGAGGAAGGAGGAAGATGATGTTTACCTCGTATTCCAGCTCCTCGCGCTCTATGTCGTGCTGAATGACCTCCAGGAAGTCATTGGGGTTGAAGTATGCGTGTTGAGGATGCCTGATGAAAAAAGAAAAGATTGTAAAACAGACCGGTTTTAAAAAGTCCTTGACTAACACATTTATCAAACCGGATTTAATTTTGCCCCAGAGTTTAAAAAATAAATGAGAAGAAGTAATAAGAACTAAATGTAGAAATCACTCTTCAATCAGATATATTGAAGCCACATCCCGAGGGTAATAGCAAATTAACATGCCGAGTTATTCATTTGACTCGGAAATCAATTATAGGCATCATAATCATTTGTTAAAGGGCAACTGCTGCCGCCACAGGGTGGAAAATGCAGCCAGACTCTCCTCGCTGCAGGGCTAACACACACTCACAAGCGAACACACACACACTAAGAAACAAAAGATGTCATTTAGGAATATGCAAATACGCATAAACCATAATTTCAATGCATCTGTGTGCCCCGGAGGAGCGGTCGTCTCCAGTAAGTGACAGGGACGTTTTCCCTTCAAACTTCAGACACATCCTGCCTGATCACAGCTGTGTCGTCTGCAGACCAGGATTAGCTGTCACTCTCTTCATTAAGGGGAAATGTCTGACTTTGAGTGAAGTGAACTTTTAACATAGCCAAGTGTTTATGACACTTAAGAATTCCCGACTCCTGTGCCACAAATAATGCCACGGTCAGGATAGGTTTCGCATGTGTAGATTTGGGTTTACATTCTGAATGTATTTCAAACCAGAGAGAACCGGGAAGGTAGGCATGGGTGTCAAGGTGGGGACCATTGGTGGTGATGTATCGCTTGAGGCATTTAATACAATCTAGAAATGCAATGATTAGTCACTTAATGTATTATTTATTTAACAAAGAAACATTGGCCAACTGTTAAATATCGATGAATCGTTACTTTAAATAATTATTTATACAAAAATGGCAGATTTTTTGCAAGATTTCAGGATTTTGTACGTGTTTTTTTAAATCATAATAAGGTTTCCACTATTTTCTATTTAAACTGTGGGTTTTCTCCGGAAATTTTTCCTTGTACGATGTGAGGGTCTAAGGACAGAGGGTGTCGTATTGTCATACTGATATTCTGTACAAACTGTGAAGTCCACTGAGACAAATGTAACATTTGTGATATTGGGCTATATAAATAAACATTGATTGATTGATTGAAAAGATTCATCGATATTGATCAAAAATGTTGGTTCCAGCTCTATTTATAAGTTCAGTTTAAAAGCTTACGAGACACCACAACACTTCACCCTGTTAGCTCTTATTGCAACACCTGCTGAATAAGGGGGATTTGTTTTGCATGCATCCCTTTTGTCTATCTAATGCTTCATTTATCACTAGTCTGGCAAGAAGTCACAGTGTGTCAGATTTAAGTCACTGCGGGGCCAACACACTTTGGCTACCTGTGAAAACAAAAGAGAATATGTCTGTTTTCTTAACCTAATTTAAATACTTTTAATACTTATTCAGGTTAAGCAGGACGTTTGTCCCTTCTGCCATGGCAGCCCTAAATACACTTTCCTGATGCCTGCAATGAGTGTGTGTAGATGTACTAACAAGGCTTCATCTATAGTGGTTACTCACTCCTCTGGTAGCAGATATTCCCCCAGCTCCGTCATGGGGGGTGAAGAAGGAGACAGCTTTGTGAGGGCCATGATGTGCTGCAGGGTGATGTCCGTCTGGGTGCTGATGTCAGAAACCTGGGAGTCACCCGCCTGGCCGGACACTTTGGGATGTGGAGATCGGCGCAGGACCTGCACCATGATGGGATCCTTGGCGGCACGAAAGGCCTCCACCGCCTGATCGTGGGTGGCCTTGGAGAGGTCTTTGCCATTGACCTGGAAGAAAGATCAAAAAGAGAAATTATTTAGCTACTTTCTTTAGGATATTGGATGGTTTGTTGATGGAGAAGAAACAGGGAGGTGTTGTAATCTGTAAAACTGAAGAGAACGGTTAGGGTTCATTGTTCCACACTGATGAAACCATTATCTCTGATCATTACTGCCTCACATGAAGCTCAGTGAGATATTCTGTCTGAGAGATGACTCATTACTGCCTCGGCTCATTTTACAGGGTCACAACCGGACCGAGTAGAATAAGACCCTAATGAGGATGAGTCTCTCTTTAATTAATCAAGGTTATTAGCAGAGGCTGCATGGAGGAGCCCTCATTTAGCTAAGTCATTTCTCAGCGGAGGATAAATCTGACCTCCCGTCAGAGACAGTAAAGTGGGTGCCGAGCGTTAACCTGAGATTCATTTGAGCAAAAGGCCGAGGCGTGTCGCGCAGAAGGGGCTAATTAAGTTTGGTTGAGCCACTTAAATCCTCTGTGTGCCGATGGAAGACGAGCGCAGTCCCCGCTCTCAATGGATTGGACAGCGTTAAATAAAGGAGACTTTAAGTGAGCACACTGCTGTCTAAAATGTAATAAGGGGCCAGGCCAAATAAGGGGATTCAAATTTGATTTAGCTGTCGCCCAAATGTCACTGTTAGTTTACCGGCTACTGCGTAAAACCCAAAACAAGCATTAACCTAGAGTCCCCTGCAAGCATATTGCATCCTGGGTAATCAAACTATCCCTCTAAATTGAATCAGGGTACACCGATCCACTGTTCCACTTTCAATCACTGCGTCATATGGACTTTGTTGGTTTGTGATTCCTGGATGTGTGGAAAGCTCTGATAGGATCTCAGCCTGGGGCTCTTCTCATTTCACACACTCCTTTTCCTCCTCATGGAAGAAACACACACTCTCAAAGCTTACTTTTAGTGTTACGGATCATTAGGCATGACATAAATCGTTATCGTGCCTCCTCCTGACATCTAACATACATGCACGTCCATGTTTGAGGTTTAATGTTCTGATAACCACGTGGCTGGTTAGTATGTGCGCCTGCCTTATAGCTACCGTCGTCTCATTTAAATTCATGGCACACTTTGCAGACTTAACTGTGGTGCTGCACATAAGAGGCAGCAGCATTATTAAGTTTCCTCCAGGGAATGAATGCTGTATATACGCGCAACCTGACTTTGACCCAGACAATGTAAAAGCTGAGTACATATTTCTATAAAGAAGAGTATATAGGAATCAAAGGCTCTTGGCTCGTGTGTGTGAGCTAAGAGGAAGGACATGAACAAGGAGGGAACTTACTTAAGGCACGAGTCAGAAGAGGCTATGTGCCAGCAGATTAATGCTTATCCTGGGCCTGCAGGATAATTGGATCATTTCAGCGGAATTAAACTTCTTCTATATCAAAATTAAATGGCTCAAATATTTGCATTTTGCTCCGAATAATACGACATTGAGGAAAAAGTGCGTTATCATATCGCGGAATACTAATGTAAAAAATCCAAGTGAAAAAACCCTGAGATTTACAACGAAGAAAAATACTGCTCTTGATTATGAGCTCGAAACAACTTTACAAAACATCTACATTCCTGTCTGCTGGTAACAAGCCTTCTTAAATCACACCGGACCTCACATCACCACCATCTTTGTTTCCCACAGCGAGCCACCGTGTTGTACATCAGCTGAGGAATACAAGCGCCATTGTGCTTTATTCTCCCTGCAGTCAAACCTGGTTGCCAGGAATCCTGAGGCTACTTTAAGGCAGTGAACCAGAGACAAAGCCTTTAGCCCCCGTCTTGTTGTGCCCGGAGCATTCTGCCTCAGTGCTCTCTATGGGGAGGGAGGGTAGGATGGCGGGGGACGTCTCCTCCCAGCTGTGGAGGGGGTCCCACGACCTCCATTCAACATGCTCACCTCTGACACAGAGCGGCCCTTCGCAGCACACTGGGAAAAAACACACAACACTTCCCTGACACAATACACAATGCTCCACCACCACTGAGCTCTCCAACTATGCCGTGTTAACCCCGGGCCGCAGCACAGCCGGCACCAAAACTCATGCTGACGTGCCAAAGAAACCAGATTTTGGTACTTGGTAAGTTCAGAAATGTTAAACCTAGACCCTATTTTGTTCCTTATTAACTGATGGGGACTACCATTTAAAAAAAACGGTCCAGTATTTGATGAGAGTCCTGAATCTGACAGCCGCGAAGCCAGCTATAATGTACACACTGTCAATGTCCGACAACTACAAGTGTTTTGTTTAAGCTACTGACAGTCTTAGATTGTAATGAAAAAATAAAAAATGGCATAATAATGGAAAAAGGCCTCTATGTGGAAATACAATCTTTCACTGACATGTTTTATATAAGGTGACTTGTCGCAGTAAGTCAACATTGGACTAGTGATTGAAGAAGAGCGAGTTGTGTTTGAGTGCAGAAAGCTCTGTTTAGTCTCACCTAAATGCTTTTCAATGTCTGGGTTGAAGTGGACGCAACATGGTATTTCTGAACAATACGTTTTCTTGAGCAAGACTTGGTTGGACGGAGTAACTTAATCAAGCTAAAGGGAAAGAAAAACGTTTTGTCTATAATATTGTCTGACACACCCAAAAAGGAGCCAATCACTGCGGAAACAAGCAATTTCATTGGATGTACATTGATTGTGCTAGATAAGATTACATTGTAGCCTGTTACTCTCAATAATCACTTGAGTCCCCATTAACTTAGACAGCAAAGCACTGCAAAATAAAGTTACCATTTAACTGTAATGTAAGAATTGATTTACCTTCGCAAACACTTGAGCTGCTGTTCATGATGACACAAAGCAATGATGACACAAAGCAATGATGACTGACATCCAGAAATGTCTCCGTCAACCTCTGGTGCATCCTCCGAAAGGTCTCTGATAATCCATTTTAATGGCAAGAGGGCAACAGGGCCCTTCTTAAAGGAATACTAATTAGGTTTGAAATCACACGTCTGCTTTGTCGGTGTTTGGTGTGGAATTTACACAGCTGTGGCTTTTGTTATCCACAGCCTGTTTTCTTTAATTCAAATATCACATTTGACCTCTAAAGCAACAGTGGAATCGGGAACATGTATCCCTGCTATGGGGTTTGGTTTAGAGTGTTTCAGGAGTTCAGTTTTTATGAGATTTCTATTCCGGTCTTCAGCCTTCTGAGTGGGCAGCAGGGTCGAGTAGTGCAGCAAGCCCCGGCACGGTAACTTCCACAGAACGCAAATCAAGCTGGATTTATGTGCTGAATTTGGAATCTCTATGTGTGTGTGTGTGTGTGTGTGTGTGTGTGTGTGTGTGTGTGTGTGTGTGTGTGTGTGTGTGTGTGTGTGTGTGTGTGTGTGTGTATACAGTGATTGCAAACCTGCTGCCAAAGATGCTTATCTGCCTGGCAGTGAGCCCCATCTCTTTCATTATCATCTTTGTATCATGGTAAATTGGGTGAGGCTGCCTCCGCTCTTCACTTATTCTTTATTTAATCAGGTAGTCTCGTTGACATTCCACTTCTTATGCATGAGATGGCTGATTACGAAACCAGAAAACAAATACAAACATCAGTCTTAGTTACAATAAAGTAGAATTGACTGAAGCCTTGCACCGCTTAGCTGCCGTTGCTATTTCGGTCAAGTTTTTGTTCATTGAGCAAAAAATGCTGTTTCCGATGACATCGTACAGATCATTTATTGTGCACTTTTTGAGACAAAGGGTCCTCACTTTCATACAGAGGTAGTTAACAGAAGGTTACCAGCCAGTGCTGCTAGCTTACTAGCTATGTTTAGCTCCAAAGACAGGTGAACAATGTCTACATTTGCATTACTTCCAACTAACTTGGTTTTAGAACTGCATCTATACAATATAATGCTATACTAAAAGTCTAAACACTTAAAGCCATGTATAGGGTCTATAGTTCAATTATTAGACATAACATAACACTTTTTGGATGCTTACCTAGTTGGAGAAGCAAGTTTCACCTTTGATATTAAAGTAGAAAAGTATTTTATGAATGGACCATGTGTGTTCAGCAAGTAAACAGGGCTGTTATGCAACCTGTAAACCCACAGAATAATCTCATGAAAGGCTTCACAGCCATAGAAGGAATGCTAGGTTACCACTCTAGGCATAGCAGTAGTTAGCCAGACATGCTAATATGTTTTATTGCAGTACCGCGGTTAGCCGATTGGATAAATTGGCTGCATATCCAGCTATATTTGTTAATCCAAGGGAGAAATAAAAAGCTTGATAGGCTTGTTGTTCCTAGATACGGTTGCTAAGTCAATTATTGTTTCGGGCAGGGGTTAAGAAATAATAAACAATGTGTTTAATTATAACAATCAATGAAGCTCAGGGACGTAAATTAATCAAAAATATGTTTGTAATGGATGAAAGCGGAAAGGTGAGACTGCTAAAAATAAATAAAAACGGACATAGGACAAAACTACCATGTACTGTAACACCCCCTAGTTTAATCATGGTGATATAGAAAGCTTTGCAGGATATTTAGTCAGTTCCCTGCCTGTGTTGTGTAACATTAGTCTTTGATACGGCCATTCAATCAGCACCTAATCCTTTAATAAAGAGGAGAACATCATTAAAGTGCCAGTGTTTCAGTTCCTCGGGGAGACGCAGCGATGTGAACAGACTGGAAACTCTGCCAGTGAGAGGCGGGCAGAGGAAACCCTGGGAACTTCACTCTATAGACGAGTATTTTAAAGAGCCGGGCTCTCGCCTCCTCTTTCTGCTCCGATACACTTCTTAGACAAATTCTTCAAAGTCTGTATTTCGGAACAGAGAGAAGCGCTGACGTGATAGCCAGCATGAAGACTTGAAGGCTTATTTTCAGGGGGGCCTTTGTAGCCTATGAGTGGCAGTCTGAATGTGGGTCATTCTGCTTGAAAAACACAGCTAATCCCTCTTTTATTTCACTTTAAACCATTTTCATAAGAAATAAATAACATTCAAGGACCAGCCAATGA